ACGCAAGGGCTGAGCTCCACTTAAGTGCAAATTCTACGATGCATAAAATCAGGCTCCTCCTTTCCAGCTCAGTCTGGAATAACAACACGCTCCTGAATGACAACACAAAGCAAGTAGGTGGCAAACACAGGCCTGCGACCTCTGAAGCACAAGAGGGTGAAACCAAACTAGGGCACAGTGCGAAGGGGCTCAGGAACGAGTAGGGATACAAGGCAGAAAAGGGGGACGCGACGAGAGGCGGCTAACCACACAGCGGACTCTGGAAGCAGGCGGGCGCCTCAAAGGCAACGAGCGTCCCTCACCTCCCCGTTTTCTTCACTCACCTCCTCCCTCTTTTCCACCGCTGGTTCCTCCCGCGACTGCTTGGGCAGCAGCGGCAGAAGGGAAGGGGTTGGCAGATGCGCGGGGGGCATCTCGTCAACACCGTGAGCTGCAGTAGTACAGCGGGTTTCGGGAGTCTCTGCTGAGGTCACCCAGCTGGCGATCTTGGCCATTCCAGGTCCCCACCCCACAGGAGTGCGAGGCAGAGCAGGCGGCTTCGCAGCGCTCGGGGCTCTTCCATGCTCCCCACCCCGCCTCCCGAGCCTGAGGGCTCCCCCTCCCGACTGCAGAGCGGGACACGGAAGCCACTGTGGCCGCGGAAATAGGGGACCCCACTGGCCTGGGAAGATCTTGCTTGCTTTGGTTCCCAGGGGCCCGGGGAGTGTCGCCTCCACCGCCGAGAGTGTGGGGACGGTGCCAGGTACGTTGGCCAAACACTTCCCCAGGCCCACGTGGCCTCCAGCGGGCCGGAAGAGGGGTGTGTGTCCCCGTAAACAAGCCTCCTCGGCTATCGGTTCCGCGCACCCTCCCGGTTCCGCGCGTGGAAGGCTCGCTACGGACCAGAAACCTCGTTCTCAGCCTCGCACTGAAAGTATTCAAGGGAAGGAGGACCGACCACAGGATACCTTTCATAGAGTGGCCGTATCGGCAACGCAGTCATCCCTGCTTTTGTTTTCAGGTGCTCTCTGTGCATGCGTGTTTGTTACATGTTCTCTACCAATAAGGTGCTTACTGCGTCTCACGCGCATGGTGTGTTTATATGCATGTACACGTAACATGCACAGATGCGTGCGTGTATGTAGATATATACATATACACACAGTATAGGAATGGCTCAGATCGAATGACATACTTCTGAGTCTCTCCTGGAGTCAAAGAAAAATCTAAACGGGACAGAAAGAACAGGCATAAAGTATTCAAAGTGTTTGTTTCCTGTGGAGCCTCCAGTGTATTTCACTGTTTTCACATTTAGCACAACGAAGAAATAGGGCCGCTTTTATTCAGATTTTATATAAAGGAATATTAAGACAAGGTCACCAGGAGAATGACAAAGTGAGACAAAATGAAACCACTTCATAATTTTGTCTACACAGAGGGAAAAAAAAAAAAAAAAAGGTCTCTGTGCCAACCAGAAAACACCCTCTGCCTTGGCCAAAACAAGTGACGCTGCTTCACCAGTTACAGCTTTATTCTTTTTCTTGTCTGCCCTCCCAATCGTTAAGACTTATTGATGCCCAATCATAGCACTGCACCTCCTTTCTGACAGCATCTGATTTAGAGTGAACTCCAGCTTCCTTAGACCAGCCCCCAAATTGCCTAAATACTATAGTAAGTTCTTTCTGACAACGTTTTACTGAAATACTCCACGGTTTCTTGTGGTGTGTGTGATTCCTCCCTACAAAAAATGATAAATCCAATTTGTCAACTATGGATATGTTCCTGGTGATCAAGCACATTGACATATTTCATTGCCTAGAATGTTCTTCCCCAGATATGTGCATGGCTTTTTCCCTTAGTTCATTCTGTTCTTTGCTCACACATTATCTTTTCAGAGGCCACCCCTGACCATACTATCTACAATAGCACCCTCATCATTCTCTATCCATTTGCAGTTTTTCTTGATAGCACTCTTTATGCTATTATATATTTAAATAATATATGCCCTTGTGTTTATTATATTGTGCCCCATTAGTATGTAAGTTTAATAAAGATTGGGACTTCCTCTTGATGATGACTTATCCACAATGTCTAGCACATTGGTAAAGAATAGGTAATAAATTATATGTATTTAATGAATAAAGAAATCAATAGATTTTTAATGTATCAGGTTTTATAATAGTTTCATTCTGTCATTGTTCATAATTTCCACCATTGTTTGATTTTAGACTTCCATTTACATAGATTGGCTCAGTGGGAAATGTCCATTCTGAACTATTTTGACTCACTTTTTACTTTATTTATTTCATATTGCTAAGTAATTTTTCACAAAGGTTATTCATGGATAGAGACTCCCTCTATCTTTTAATGTTTGAAATAAGTACCTGTTGTTTTTTTAGTAGATCCTGTTAGTGTTAGCGATTATCCACTCCTTCTTTACCAGGAGGAGGGTTCTCCATCCCTATCCAGTTGACTTTGGAATGTTTAAGAAGGAAAGGGGAATCAGCAGTGTTGAACAATTCACTGGCAGGGAGAGTTGTTGAGAGCAAGCTGAAAAGGGGGCACTGATGAAAAGACATAGATACATTTAGCACTCACTGGGTTCCAGGCTGTCATTCACTATTACATAAACGTATCTATCTACCATTTATTAGATCAAACTAGCCCTCACAAATAATTTAGTGCTCATGTTGTACCTTTTTGGAAGATCAGACACACATGGCAAAGTGTAGATACTATCGGAGTGATTTTTCTAGGTTCTGGATTCCAGAAAGACATGGAAGCAGTAAACATCATGCTACATTTTGGAAACTGGATGCAATTTGACACTACACATAGTTAACTCATTTAACCAAGACAACTTTATGGGAAGGTATTATTTTTCCGATTTTACAGAAGACTCACACCCCAGATCACATACCAGCACCCCAACCCACTCACATCTGCTCCTCCAGCCTTTGTTTTTTCCACTCTACCTTACTGTAGTTTGGCCTTATACTGTGAAGCTAAGCATAACTCAGAGAAGGGCTATAGGAGAACAAATACCATTTAAATCATTTACTATCATCAGTGAATTTACATTAAACACCCACAAGATTCTTCACATTTTAACACAGAAGAGGGCAGTTTCAGTCCTCATGGAATTCATAATCAACTTCAAACTAGGCAAACAAACACTGACACATGATTTATAAAACCTAACTGATCTCATTATCAATCAAAAATATTTCTAGAATATGAAACCACTGATACCTCCAAAGTTATTTTATTAAAATTCATACATTGTGGTGGGAATGTAGACTGGAAAAAAATATGTTTTCCCTATGAAAAACAGTATGGAGATTCCTCAAAAATTTAAAAATAGAAATTGCCATCTGATCGAACAATTCCACTATTAGGTAGTTATCCAAAGAGTGTGAAAACGCAAATATGAAAATTATGTACCCATATGTTCAGAGCATTATTCACAATAGCCAAAACATGGAGTCAACCTAAATTACTGTTGTAACTGAATGGCAAATCAATAAAAATTTGTAAAAATATTTAAAAATACAATCTCAAAATTAAAAATAGGAAAAATGAAGATAATGGCCTTAATTGGTGAAGAAAAAGCTTCTATTTTGATTCCTTTGTTGAATATGATCAATAACCAGGCTAAGGGAGACATTGTTGCTCTCCAACCGCCCATCTGCTGCTTCATTCAGCATGCTATTCAGCCAGAAGTATATTACTAAAGAAGGCTAAATATCCACAACTCACACATTATTAATTCATTAAACAATTGTTGAACACCTACTATGCATCAGACACTAGAGCCCTCCGAGGAGGTAATGCTATGTAAATTAAGGCAATACATTAACATTGCATGTGTTAAGATTAATTTTTCAAGATATAGCTCAAGTAGTAATAACATTCAATTTGCCGTTCCCTTCTCTGTGTTCTGCGCCTAGTGCAAATACTTCTGTGGATGTTCCTGTACCTATTGAGCTCCTTGAAAAGGGAAAGACATTTTTTCACTCATTTTGTCACGTCCCCAAAAGGTGTGGTGATTGTAAGTCAGTTAATATAATGAGGAGGTTCGGTAAAGTAAACCAAGAACTTTATTGCTTGGCAAGCAAAGGAAAAGGTTTCCAAAGCATCTTTTTACTGGGGCTGGAAGGAAAAGTTACTTTTAAAGTGAACAAGGAAGAGGCACAGTTAGACACAATGGGAAGGCGTCGCTAGGAGCAGGCGTCCAGCCGCCTCGTAGATGCTCGCTCCTCCCAGCTGTGGTGTGCACCTTCTGGCTGCCCAGCACCACGAACTGGGGAGAAGATCCTGCAAGAGTCCACCTAGAACAGACCACTGGACCAGCACAGATGCGATGAGAACTATTAAATGGTTCCCCCTTTTTTTTTTTGCACGGGGCAAAAGCTCGCACAAGGCAGAACCTTGCACTGGGCAACAATTTGGGGGTTGCACAGACGCTGAGGTAAGATGTGGTACAGATCAAACAGGTGGTCAACAATCCGTCAGTCCACGCACTAGATTTATTTTCTGAAAGTAGTTACTATCGTCTGGTTATGTAATTATCTTAGAACTTGAGTTATCAGAATGAGTAGACACAGTGAATTGAGTTCTACTCATTCAACTTTGTATTTCAAGGTGGTTTCCCCTGTTACAAACGGGCTCATAGAGCAGTTTCAAACTTGCCAAAGATGTGAAAACCGTGGTTTCTTAAAGTGTTCACGCCCGAGCAGCCTGTACTGCATTTCGAAGAAAGCGACTGGGTTCCCTTTAACCCTGCCCCTCGGGTCAGCGTTCCCTTTCCTTTTTTCCCACCCTTTCGCCCTCCGGAAAGGGTCGATCGTTTCGAGAGCTTCCCAGTCTTTCTCCGCCCCCTGGCGGAAAGAGCCGAGGGCAGAGGAGGGCGCCGAAGCCGGGCCCCCGAGCGCTCGGGCCCTTCCGGAAAGACCCGAACGGCACTCGAAAGAGGAGGGCGCCTTTGACTTCAGCGCGGCGCCCCCGCGCTGTGCCCTCTGTCGGCGGCGCGGGGCGGCTGTAGCAGCGGTGGCGGCAGCCGCGTCGACGTCGCCCAACACTGGAGCGACGTTTAAAGAAGGAGCCGAATCGCCGTGCCGTCCGGCTGCTTGTCGTTGGCGGACTCCCACCCTTCTGCACGGCCCGGCGGGGAGCGGCGGCGGCGCCGGGGAGCAGGTGAGCGCCGGGCCCAGATCCGGGAGGGGCGAGGGAGCGCGCCCGCTGCCTCGGAGCCTGGGCCGCGCCTGCCTTTGCATTCTCCTTACTTGAACCAGGAAGCGGCGGAGTCGGAGGCTCGGGCTCCTCCGGCCCTTTCTTTGTGTGGGCCGGGAGCGAAGGAGGGGACGGAGCCGGAGGGCCGCGGCGCGGTGCCTGCCGCCGTCAGGGGCCGGGAGGCTGCGGGTGCTTTGGGTAGGCCCGGAGCGTGGAGCGCCCACCGCTGAGACCCACTTGGCTTTCTCCTCGGTCCCTCTGCCTTCCTTTTTGTGCCTGTTTTTCTCCTCCGAGCCCCTACTTGGACTGAGAGCTTTCCTGCCGGGCCCATCTTCCCCTTCCGTCCCCTTCCCAGGGCATAACAATGCCGCCTGCTTGGCCTCATCCCCTCCCAACACCCCACCCTCCTGCTCGCCACCTTCTACTTTCCCTGGCTCGCCTGGTCACCCCCAGCCCTCACTCTGCCGTTTGCACCTCTGTTTGTGTTTGCAAAAAGCGCCCTTTTGGCGTGGATCGGGCTTTTAAAACCTGGGTTGCAGCCGTGGTGGGTGCAAATAGGGAAGAGGGGGTGGAAGCAGGAAGATTGGGGTTCAGCTGCCGCAGGGAGCCGCGTGTCGGTTTGTTTCGCTCCCTCGCGGATGGCGTTTTCTCTTTGCCACCTTCACATGCCCTCGGTCAAGGCTTGATCTCACCATGATGCCGAACGGCTTCTCCACGGTCAGGTCGCCAATCTCGCGGTGGGTTCAGACCCATTTGTACCGTTCTGGGCCCACCCTAACCGGGAGGAGGAGAAAACCTAAACAAAATGAAACCAAGTGCCAGTGACACCTGGACACGTAGGTTTAACGCAGTCCCTCATTGGAAAAACCTGCTTGCAAACAACAAATATCTGGGACCGTACTCAGAAAGCCTCTCATTCCACTTAAAAGTGACTGCTGTCGAAATCCCCGTATTTCTGAAGCGCTGGTTACTGTCTTGCTGTCCAAAGGTCACCCTTTCTGATGAATACCTTTATGGTAACTGAATGCCTTGGTACTGTTAGAAGAGGGGCGCCTTTTAAGCAGATGATGTTTTCAATCCTTGATTTCTAGACTTTTCGCCTACTTTGTGGTTTTGACCTGCGATTTTGAAAAAAATGTAGATGATGTTTGAGACTCCCTGCCTTCCTCGTGTATAGAACTTAAGTACTGTGATAGTTTTGTTAACTTTAAAGTGAAGAAATATTAGTGATGAAAGCTTTCATTTACAAAAAGTACTTATCAGAATAGCGTGTGTGTTTCCAACTCAGCCTTATTGCTACTGGGAGTATCTACCTGAAGGGCACAAAATGTTTTGGAGGTAGTACATAGCATTGCTATTTACTGAGCCCCTCCCCCCGTTTTTAGAGTAACTTCTGCTCTCTTCCAACAAGTTCATGTTTGTTTGTTTGTTTTTTTCACTGCAAGTTTGATATGTAGAAGTTCCTATACCAATGCATGTGTAATTCTTTGCTAAGGGGATGAGATGTTTTGTTTGCATGCAAGTAAGCATTAGGAAATGGGAAACGTTTCTTTGTCTTACTTTTTCACAATAGCAACTGTTTAGCCTATTTGGCACTCTAACAGTTCTTCCTCTGGAGATTGTATAGGTTGAGAGGTGAGGAGGAGACCAGGTAAGGGGATGAAGAAGAGGAGAAGATGGAAAGGTGTTTCATAGTCTAGTTAGATGAAGTGCCCCAATTTAAATAAGAACAGAAAAATAGTGGCAAGTTGAGACAATAATTGTCATGTTTATGAATAATGATCAAGCTATTGGTTGTAGGGAGTAGCTTTGGAACTTGTTAAAGATAAGATTTTTAGAAAGGGTAGGTTTTTCAGGCTCACCAGACTTACCTAACAGGTTTATCATTTACTTAGAGGTGAAATAACTTCTGTATGTTCATGGTGAAGACTTTTCTTCAGAAAGTTTCACGACAGTTAAAAAACTAAAGAGAAAACCCAAAAATGGAACTAAAAAAAACCTAATGTTTAGAATTTGCTTCATGGTATAGCGTGTGTCTGAGATTCAGAGGAAGAGATTACTGTTCAAATCTGTAGATCAATTGAAAACTTGCTAGTCTCTCCTCAGGAGGAAGTCATGAGATTTCACACATATACAGGCCGGTCCAAAAACCAGCCTTTATGAACAATTTATATAAAAGTCAAAAAGTTATGCCAAACTTTGTTTAAAACTTGAATAAGCTAATGATGTTGTAGCTTAAATTCTTCATGATAAAAAGTCCTTTTGTTTTTCTTTCCTAATCTGCCCCCTCCTCCTTTCCCCTTATAGGCATGGAGAGTAGAAAACTGATTTCCGCTACAGACATTCAGTACTCTGGCAGCCTGCTGAACTCCTTGAATGAGCAGCGTGGTCATGGACTCTTCTGTGATGTTACTGTTATTGTGGAAGACCGAAAATTCCGGGCTCACAGGAATATTCTTTCAGCGTCTAGTACTTACTTCCATCAGCTCTTCTCAGTTGCTGGGCAAGTTGTTGAGCTGAGCTTTATAAGAGCAGAGATCTTTGCAGAAATTCTCAATTATATCTATAGTTCTAAAATTGTTCGAGTTAGATCAGATTTACTTGATGAGTTAATAAAATCAGGGCAGTTATTGGGAGTTAAATTTATAGCAGAACTTGGTGTTCCATTGTCACAGGTTAAAAGCATCTCAGGTACAGCTCAGGATGGTAATGCAGACACCTTACCGCCTGGTTCTAGTGACAAGAATGTTGAAATGCAAAAATCAAAAGATGATGCCCAAGATAATGGGGCCACTATCATGCCTATTATAACAGAATCTTTTTCTTTATCTGCTGAAGATTATGAAACAAAAAAGATTATTGTTACCGATTCTGATGATGACGATGACGATGATGATGTCATTTTCTGCTCGGAGATTCTGCCTGCAAAGGAGACTTTGCCAAGTACCACTGCAGTGGCCCAGGTCCAGCCTAACCCAGGCTCTGTTGCTATTTCTGATGTTGCACCTTGTGCTAGCAATGACTCTCCGCCGTTAGCAAATATCACACCTAGTCAGAAACTTCCTACTTCTGTGAATCAGGCAACTCTCAGCCAAACACAAGGAAATGAAAAATTGCTGGTATCTTCAGCCCCGACACATCTGACTCCCAACATTATCTTGTTAAATCAGACACCACTTACTACGCCACCAAGTGTCAGTTCTTCACTTCCAAATCATATGTCTCCTTCAATCAATTTACTTGTGCAGAATCAGCAGACACCAAGCAGCGCGGTTTTAACAGGAGGCAAAGCCAATGAAGAAGAGGAGGAGGAAAGTATAGATGATGACGATGACACTATTAGCTCCAGTCCAGATTCAGCAGTCAGTAATACATCTTTGGTCCCACAGGCTGATATCTCCCAAAATACTACATTTGATGGATCATTGATACAGAAGATGCAGATTCCTACACTTCTGCAAGAGCCACCTTCCAATTCTTTAAAGATTTCAGATATAATAACTAGAAACACGAATGATCCAAGTTTAGGATCAAAACATCTAACGGAGGGTCAGAAGATCATTACTTTAGATACAGCTACTGAAATTGAAGGCTTGTCAACAGGTTGCAAGGTTTATGCAAACATTGGCGAAGATACTTATGACATAGTAATCCCTGTCAAAGATGACCCTGATGAAGGGGAGGCCAGACTTGAGAATGAATTGCCAAAAACTTCTAGTGGTGAGACGGCAAACAAGCGTATGAAAGTAAAACATGATGATCATTATGAATTAATAGTAGATGGAAGGGTCTATTATATCTGCATTGTATGCAAAAGGTCATATGTCTGCCTGACAAGCTTGCGGAGACATTTCAACATTCATTCTTGGGAGAAGAAGTATCCTTGCCGTTACTGTGAGAAGGTATTTCCTCTTGCAGAATATCGCACAAAGCATGAAATTCATCACACAGGGGAGCGAAGGTACCAATGTTTGGCCTGTGGCAAATCATTCATAAACTATCAGTTTATGTCTTCGCACATAAAGTCAGTCCATAGCCAAGATCCTTCTGGAGACTCGAAGCTTTATCGTTTACATCCATGCAGGTCTTTACAGATCAGACAATATGCATACCTTTCTGATAGGTCAGGTGCTGTGCCTGGAATGAAGGATGATGGTATTGGGTATAAGGTTGATGCTGGGAAAGAAACTCCAGTAGGGAACACATCTACTCCTCAGAACAAGCCAATGACCTGGGAAGATATTTTTATTCAGCAGGAAAATGATGCCATTTTTAAACAGAATGTAACAGATGGCAGTACTGAGTTTGAATTTATAATACCAGAATCTTATTGAACTCCTGTGAAATATCAGAAAGTTTTAGCTTGAATTTAAGGGGGAGGGATTTCAGAAGACTTATAAAACAAATTAAGGTGAAAAGTGGATTTGATCTACCATGTCATCTGAAGATAGTCTAGTTGGATTATTTGTTGATAATTTTTAGAAACAAATTATTCTGAAAGTTTGAGTAGAGATTAAGAAATTTTCTCCCCCTCCCAGGTATATGTTCATATAGTTAGCTTTCAGCTTCATTTAAAAGGCAGAAAAACAAAAAAAAAAGTACAAACCAAGCTTGGAGAGATAGTTTCCTGAATAGAATTTGAAGCAGTCTGAATGTTCTTTGAAAATAACTGGAGTTATTAGCAAACCCTAGTATATCTTACAACTTTCCCCTTCCAAGTTAGCACTTTACTGCTGAATTCTCAATTTTGTTAATATTGAGACTATAAATGTGTGTTGTGTCTTGTATATGGCATAAAAAGTAAACAAGAACTTCTAAAGTTGTTCTGGAATATTTCAGAATGAGTTTCCACTTGGTTGTGTATTCTGCTAGTCCAAATGGATAGCAATTTCTTTCTTCCCTCCCTCCATGAAAATGGCCATGCAGACCAGACCAGTTTCTCATCTGAAGAATGAATTAGTTTTAGCTAATTAGAATTAAATCTTGCTTTTATTGCCATAGTCTAGGATAAAACTTTGGTGGCTGACTACTGTGTGTGTGTATATACACACACATCTCTGTGTGTGTGTGTGTGTGTGTGTGTGTGTGTGTGTGTATACCTTTGCAATATGGTCTTTGTGGGCAGAAATATTACTGAAAAACAAATCTCCATAGGACAGGAGATAAAAAATTCCGTTGTACTTGTTTTGAATTCTGTGCTCTCATTTGATCGAGACAGTAGAGGTGAATGGAGATATTTCACTTTTGCTCATTATGGGGTGTAAAATATTAACATGAATTTTTTCAAATTTTTAATCTGAAAGCCACCAAATAAACCTTTATGTATAAATCTTTATAAATGATAGATTCCATAAATGAGACTCCTCCATATTTTGGGCGGAGGCTGCTGGCATATATTTTTAAACAGTCATACTTAGAATCTAGTTTTCTTCTAGATTTCACCAGTTTGAAATAGTTGAATCAGTGATCTAGTGTTTTCCTTTCAGCAAAACCTTTTAGGTTTTTACCCCTTCTAAAGTCAGTTCCATTCCATTGGCAAATTGCTGCAATAGGATAGCAATCAGAAACTATATATGGAATGTTATATAGGCTTTTTGATTCCCATTTATCTTGAGAACAGTAAATACCACCTATCTTCCTTTTAAAATGACACATATTTAAACATGTAGAAAATATAAAATTATTGAAGTGCTAGTACTAAAAGGAAGCAGGTTGGAACAAATATATAGCCTAGCATTTATAACAGGATTAAATTGTTGAACTTCTGTAAATGACTTTGCAAAGAAAAAAAATTAATAGATATTGAAAAAGATTGTTGTGCATAGTCATTAGTCATTTGTAACATTGCTTAAGTATTTCTTAATTCAACATAGATATTTTCTTTCTCCTTATCCTTAACCATGTATTTTTGAAAATAGTCTATTTCTTGACTTTGAACTTAAAGCTTTACCCATAACTTCTCATGTATGCATCACTCTTCAGACAGATTTGAAGATAATGGTTTCAGTGTCTCTTGAGTTTGTAGCTGAGGGTATCAGGCATCAGTTTTTGCAGTAATACAAGGAGAAAGAAAAATAATACAATTCTTTGCTTACCAAGGCTAGAGTGCTGTGCATCTATTTGTTTTCTGTTCTGTGAATCTAAGCCTTCAAACCATTTTGTAAACACATTGGAAAATTTTAAATTACCTTACTGCTTAAGACTCTGTGGTCTCTGGAATCATGCTATCTATTTTCTTTCTGTGTAAATATTGATAACATTGCTCTCTGACTGTAGGGCGCACAAATTTCAGTGGAAGTTTGAGCTTCACGAGTGTTATTTCATCAGTTAGTGGAAACTACTTTTACAAGTGTGAATGACACTGATGCCAGCAGAGCTTCCAGATCTTTCAGACTTAAGTGCTAGGTAAATTAGTTTGTCATAATAAAACTTGGTCATTTCTACAAGGCTATTATGACAAACCAGGAATTCTATAACGGAAAACTCTCCATTCTGCACAATATAATTTTTGTTGCTGCTGTGCGCTACGTAAATTGTGAATATAAAATTTAAATTCTGTGCTGACTGAAGGTATATTCTGCAATTTTTTAGGATGAGGAAAACTGGAAAATGTTAATTGTATTTTTGCCAGAAGACTTTTATTGGCATGTATGTCAGAGTCTTCGGTTTTTTCTAGAAGTTTCTTTTAAGCCAAAGTGGAGAATTCATGTGGAATACTCCTTTAAGGCTAAAACTCTGTCAGTATTTATTGGGTTGGAAATCTGTAGCGAGATGCTATTTAAAACTTACGGGATTTCCCTGTTTTATACTTAGCTTTCTGGCTATTGAACATTTTCCCCTTTCAAGTTGGCTTCAAATTTGCTCCTATGCTTAATTAATTGCCTTTAAGTATTCCAGTTAGGAACTGTTTGAAATAGCAATTTGTTAAGAGATAGCAGAAAACGACAATTTTCAAACTTAACAAAGATTTAAAAAATGCCATAGCATCCTTGCAAGGTTAAAATATATTTGAAATGATCATTATCGTTTTGGTGGTGATGATCCCCCACATAAAACTACTGTGAGTAATTGATGCTTCATTTTCCCATTATACCAAAAAGGTAAAACAAATGCACAAAAAATGATCAAGGTATTTTGTATTGTCAAGGCATGCATAGTCTAAAGAATTAAATGCTAAAATCAACAGCACTGGCTTCCTGTCAGTCATGAAACCTTGTTCATTTCCACCAAACTGTAATGTTCACATGTGTACAACCATACCTATCATGACTTTAAGTTCTACTTTTCATTAACCATTACCTGATATTAGTTCGTAGAGCTTCTTATGGCAAAAATAAAATGTTTTAATTCTGATTTTGGAGTGTATTTCTTATAAGATTCTTTTTCAGAAATTACATTTTCATTGTTTTTCAATTTTTATATCAGGAGACAAGCTGTATTTCTGATGACAGCATGACAAAATTATTAGGTTATTTCTGGTGGTTAATAGCATCCCCATTGTATCTTGAACCACTGTAGTCTGACTGAGTCAGCTGCTGTCAGTTGCTTTAGAACATTTATGCTACTTTAGTGGATTCCATGAAGACAGATGTAAGTGATAAGGAGGAAGATAGTTTTATTAATCTGAAACATCACAAAAGCAGTCTGGGTTTCCAACATGGCAGTGATACAGATTTTAAGCAACATCCAGTTTACACAGGTTCTGGATTAATATTTTAATGTTTCATGCCCAGTTCAATATTTTAAAGCAGAATTAGGAATAAAGCAGTAAATATTACAAAATGCAGTCAAGGTACATATTGGAAATACAAATTCCTTCATTACAGCAAATGTTCTGCAAAAGAGTAAAGCAGCAAATATTAATTTTCCTAAGGTAACATGCACTTTATATAATTCAATGTAATAAAAAAAGAAGCTGCTCAAATTAAGTGTTACAAAATCTATACTGTTTCAAGTTATTTTGTTGTAAAGTAAGAAAAATACATAGAAATGAGTCATAGAATCTTAACACTAAGAAATGTGATAAATGTAGGTTATAGTGTGTAATGGTGCCTTTTAAAAAATGAAATAGTCATACACATTTACTAAAGCAAAAGGTAAAGTGTAAACGGCAAGAAATTTCAGAGTATTACAACAAGTTGATAGTTGTATGTAAGTCAATTGGTTATTAGTCCCTTTTTGAAATCCGATAGAATTTTAATATGCTCAAAACTATAGAAAATAACAGTAATTGTATATAACGCAAAAGGATTATAGTTTTTCAGATTTGAGATCTGGATGAGACATCATTCTTGACGTCAGAAGTTAAATTGAATGTTTGCAAATGTTTACTGTGAACAGTAAGTGCACGTGTTGTGCCTTGGTAATCCTTGATGGCTGGGTGTCTACAAGGTAGACTAGAGCACCAGCATTCGCCTGCTACGTAGCGAAATTGGCCGGATATATGTGTTCTGTGTTTGCACAATGTCTAATTAGGTACCGCCTAGGTACCATCCTGTAGCCCTGTATTTTTACATTATACAAGTGTAGGATTAGCAATCTTCCTTTAAGTCAATCAAGTCTCAGGTTAACATAAGATCGCAATGGAAAGTGTTCATTTTGAAGTGAAGGCAAGGGTGGCAAAGTGTGGAATTCGTCGGGTTGATGGTTTAAAGCTATGCATACTCGAAGGATCTGTACAGCTACCTACTGCAGTGTGCCAGATGGATTTTAAATCTAAGATAACACTTAAAAGATTGTCGAGTTGGCTACATCTAGAGGTTTTTGCAGACTTGAAGCGGCATTGTAACACTTTCATAATCTTGAATGCTGTCGTGATTGGTCTCAACAGAAAAAAGGACCAATAAGAGCAGTGGCATTAAAATACAAATGATTCCCTTGGGATGGGGTGCCAGATACGTGCGGTTTGCTGGGGCTGAAGCACAATATTTGAAGAGTAAGTAGTCACAAAGATTAGTAATGATTCCTATCACAACCCAAGGACCTAACCTGGCTTTTTTTTTTAACTCAGAATTTTAACTGTAGGATTAATGTCTTCTGTGGCAAATGTATTTTGTAATACTGCAACATGTTGTAGAACTGCCATCTAAGTTAATCAGATGTGTAACAGATCTACATTCAACACGTCATGTGTTGCTCTGCGCGTTTCAGTGCTTCCTGAACAATCATTCCTGTTCCCTACTATTCGAGGGAATATTGCACTTTTCCCTTTGGGAGGTACTGATAACAAAAGCTGAGCGGAATGATCACAACAGCCATTTTTACAATACAGAGAAGAGAGGAGTAAGAGAGATGGGCAGCTTTTTTCAACATCCAGACGCAAGCACACACAATCCTATCGAGAACTCTCTGTGTTGGAACTGACGTCTGGGAAATTTTCCTTAGGGACTGACTTGAGTGGTAGGGAAAGATAGAGCGTATAAGCCAGGTGCTTCAACCAAGGTGCTAGGGTGGCACTCTGCCAAGCTCCCGAGGACAGCACTCCATCCACATAAAGTGAAACAGCAGCCGCACTGCTCCTGACTAGGACAGTAGTGCCCTGGTGTGATGTACATCCAAACAAGCAAGCTTTTTGCTGGGGTGGCTCCCCAGCCTTGCTTAGAAAGTACACTGCCCTCTTTAGAAGTGCGGGTTTGCCTAGCTATACCTGCTTTACACTGATAATGAATAAGCTTCATCCCTATCTTTCCCTAGCCTGGCAGGCCATGGTCAAACTTTATGCATAAGAATCACACTTGAGATTTTGTACCCTACACACTCCCACTAAAGCAGAAATACAAAAGCCACAATAATCTCAATAGCCGGCAGACATTCCTTTTTAGGGGCTGTAAGGTGGAGGCTTTTCAAAAGGAGGATAGTAAGGTGGGGAGTAACGGGGTGGTGCACTGGACGACCACATGTAGCTCGGCGAAGGTGAAGCTGACTGGGGCTCATCAGAAAGTCCAGAAGGAGGGGAAGATGGAAAGACACTGGAATGCTGTGTAATAAAAAGCAAACATGGGTTGAGGGAGTGAGGTTGCAGTTCCCCAGACTCAGTCATTATTTAAAACTGAGCATGGACCAAGTTAGTTTCTATCCGAAACAATGAGCTGCCAAACCTCACAGAGTTTCTGAGGGCAGAGAAACCGAGCTGCACCATAATCTCAGTCACCCAGGCGGCAAAGCTCATGCAGAGTCGGTTGGAGTCCTGCCGCTGCCTTGAGCCCCACATGCAGCTGGTTTCCAATCCACTGTTCCTGCTTCCCAGGTGTCTCTTGCATCGCCACTCCCTCTTCTGTTTACAACGCAAGCCTCCCATGCTTCTCCCTTGAGCTATGGCAACCACACCCAGACCATTCTTAAAGGTAGCTGGGCCTTAACATTGATTGAGGTTAAGCCATTAATACCTGGGAATGCGTTTACTCGGAGAACATATTACATAAGAGTCCATCTCTTAGACAACAAAACAAAGAACAAAGAACGAGGGTCAGAGCAGTTAAATGGTGCTTTTTTTTTTTTTTTAAACTGGAGCTTTCTAAGTCCAGCACTATTTCATGTAACTCTCTCATAGCAGGGCAGGCTGGGGAACAATGGTGTGGAGGTAAGAATTCCGGTGACAAGACAGAGGGGCAACTTGCCAGGTTGCATACACTGAGGATTCCGTTTACTTTGTATGGCCTGACTTTGGGAAGGGAGTGGATGTGGATTTTTAAAATAGCCAGTCAATTATAGCACATTAAAAGTCATGTGTCCTCTTCCCCTGGCTCTTGTATCTGCCCTTAACCCTAGTGAGTTCCCTGCTCAAGGATGGTTGGCCTGTTTTGCTCATTGCTGTATCCCCCATAGCTTAAAACTATGCCTGGCAAGTAGTGGGTGCTGAATAAATGTTGAAAGAGTGACTTATGACTTCAGGAGTATATCAGATGAACTTGGCATTTAAAAAAATAAAATTTCTATTCAAAGAACATGGTACCACTTGTGGGTGTTGGTACATTGCCCCAATGGTGGACCATGCTGAGGCCTGAAGGCTGGTGAGGACTATAGGGATGGCAGAAGGCAGGCGGCCGGTTTCAGGTTCTCAGGAAGAGCAAACAGAAGCCAACAGCCAAAGAAGTACAATTTTCTGCGTGTATTTAGCTCTCAGAGGCACTGGCATAGTAATCATAATGAAAAAAGATCCATTTATCCCAAAATTTCTCAAGAGTTCAAGTGCTGCTTGAGGAGATCACACCTTTACTTTGTTCTAGCCAGAGTCTCAGTAGATCATGTTATCTTTTCAGGTCTGGAACAATCTAGGGTCAGCTTTAACTTGAGGTTTCTGTTGTTCCGAGTCCAGGTGCTGAGTCTCCTTGTCCCCAGTCCTGACTTCTGCATCCATAAAAAGGGTTGTTCAGATTTCTGGGGCTTGCCCGAGACACTGACTTATCTGTCTCTTAAGCCACACGTTAGGACTGAGCAGAGACAGAGGCTGCCATTTCCCCCATCCATTATTTCATCCCAAGTGAAGGAATGACAGGGTACAGAGACTGCAGAGCCTTTAAAGGCAAGAGAACTTAAGCACTGGACTCAAAACAAGACAGATTCCTTTCTACAATCTCACATTTTCTCCTCCGTCCAAGAAGATGTACTTAAGATACCGGTATTATGATTCCCTCATTTCCCAACTCTTTGTTTCTCCTCCCAACTCTCCTTTAGCTGGTGCTTTCTTCAACTGAGAATGGTCGCTCCTTAACTAAAGAGAACAAAAACCTACCAGGAATAAGAACTGTGCCCAGGCACACTAAATCCCACTGCAGGATGGTGAACGTGTGGGAGGCGAGGCCAGCTTTAGGTGTTCCCGGCTGCAGAAGGGAGGGGCTGTCTCCTACAGTGCGGCTATAGACAGTTCTGTCCAAGAGGCATTAAAAGGCTTTTGTGGGCAGCAGCTGCTGTGGGGAGCAGTCGTGTGCTTTGATAATAAAAGGGGAGGCGGCACAACAGCCTTCAGCTTTTTCCTTCTCAGTTTCATGTTTGAGAAATATTGGGGGGAAGGGAGCGGGATGACTCTCCCTTCACTGTGAGGATGCTGGGTATCTTAAGAATAAAATTGAAGGCCTTCTGGCAGAGCTAGGGAGCTAACTGGCTGCAGTCCACACACCCTTGAGGTTTTGGGGGAAAAAGGCCCACAGTACCAGTGTGGAGTTTCCTAGCAACGGGCAGGCACCTTGGGAAGGATTTGGCCTTGTTGCAGCTGGGGAACTGGCCTGGTGCATTTTGGTTCCTGCCTGTGAGTGGACTTTACTCATGGGACAGGCAGGTTAGAAGAACAGAGCTCTGAATCTACACATACCACAAAGCATCTAAATAGCCTTCTGCAGAGCCTACTCAACTCACACGTGTGCTGCTTCTCAGAGACTTGGGTGCCCTTGAGGTTGATGGCACTAAATGAGAAGCACCACCCTTTCAGGGCACATGCACCCTCCTCTTCCACTTTAGCCTGCTCCTCCTCTGCCTGAAGGCCAGCCTCCATTCTTCAAGATCAATGTGCTCTTCTGTCAGGCTATGTGCCTCTCTTCAAGCAGTGGCACTGGGAAGAGCCCTGGAACTGGCCAGGTGATAAAAGTGGCCAGTTAAAGATGCTGTGTCCCAAGGGATAAATCCAGGCTCTCTTAGTTCTTTGCATTCTCTCTCCTCTCCCCTCTCCTCCTGACTGATTCTGCCCCAGAAGGCTGAGGTTTGAGAGATGCAGTGAAGAGCAAATGAAAGAAGGAAAAGAGGGAATCAGAAACAAGGAAAAGTAGAAGAATGGGAGAACTTAGCAGGAGAGAGAAAATAAAAGGGAAAAGTTGAAAAGGAAAAAGTTGAGTGGAAGCAGCAACCTTTGCCATAGAATGCCTCCTCCAGGATCATAGCAATCCTTTGTTAACTGGGTCCAATTTATAATGGGCCATCTTTTAGTGGCAAAGGCAAAGATATAGTATATACTCATATGATTTAATAAAGAGCATAAATGGAGACACTTGCATTTTGCCTAAACTGAGATTTTTGTATTAAGCTACACATGGCAATTCATTGACTACACAGGAAAGAGACAAGTCCAGGGTTAAACCAAAGTACTGGGATTGGCCTGGTATGTGAGACTATAAGTTATGGCTGGAATCCTTAAGGGGTTTACCCCCAGCTACACAGAGTTAAATTTCCCAGCAGCAGAAGGAACTGACCTGGCTGAGCTGAAGCAGAAGTATGGGCAAAGGGGAATGAGCACAAAGGCAAGGAAAGTGAGCACAGGGTTGATGAGCAAGGAGGTGAAGGAGGTCTCTGTGGACAGCCTTGCTGCTTTGGGGGATGAGGAGTTCATTAGAAACACAGACACCTTGGAATTCAATGTGTGACAGTGTCCGGTTTCTCCAAGCTCAGCACTTAGAACACCCTCTGGACCAGCAGACCAGACCCATGGCTTCATTTGTGTCTCAGCACAAGGAGTGTCTCCCAAGCTTCCTAACTGGCCAGTTACCCAAAAGGGGCATGGCTATAAGGGGTTAAAACAAATTTTCTTTCCTCTTCCTTTTATGGGCCTCAGGGTAATAAGGAAAGAGAAGTCTTCAAACCCAAAGGCACAGAAATAGTCCCATTTGGAAATGTCCAGAATGAGGAAGTAGTTCAGAAGAAAGACTAGAAAAGGTCAGTTTTCCTGCTGTAATGTGGGCCCTTTTGCAATTTGAGAAGAGACCATAAGGACCTCTGGCCTTTTTTTTTTTTTTTTTGTGGCAGGTTTGTGCTTTGGTGGTTTTATTGTCAGAGCTGCTGTACATTTTGCTGACTGCTTTCTATTTATGTGGGAACATAAGCAGATGCTTCCCTGTCCTTTTGGCTTTCTTGGGTAGAAACTGGTATTTCCTCCTGTGAAACTGTAATGAAATGGAACTTGGCAAACAAAAGAAAGCTTAAACACTAAAGTGAAATACCATTTAAGTTCTAGGGGGAAACCAATCACTTAAAAGCATACCCCTCAAAGCCCACACCATATAGTTATCAAGACTCCAAAAAGGGCACCCAAAACACAGCTTGAACCTTGAAAGAGAAAGTGCCTGGAGACCTAAAGTAGGGAGCAATTTAATACTGTAACAAGGAAGTGTAAAGAGACCCTTTCTGAGTCAAGGCTAGAAAGCTCATAATTTAAACCAATTGAAGAAAGGTATTAAAGTCCTAACACTAACTGGGGAACACAGCTATGTTCAATCTTACAGCTGCTCCAAAGAATCCCCCAAGCCAGTCTCTGGAGTCAGTCAGACCTAGATTCTAATCTTTGTACTTGCTATCTCTGTGACTTTAGAAAATTCCATGACTCAGTCAGGTCATCTTAAAAATGGCAATAACAAGAGTATTCCCCTCAAGGACTAAATGAGATGACAAAAGCATTTAGCATAATGCATGGCATACAGTAAGCACTCAATGAATGAGAGCTATTATAAAAAGTAGCCTTTGACAACACCAATATGGCTGCAAAGAGTCACTGGGATTGAGTCCTCTCTTAGATATAATAAATAAAGGAGTAATTACAGCAAAGTCCAGTCAGGACTCAGACATTTTGGATAGGACTGGTGACCCAAAGAAAGCAGGAGGAAGGTGAGAGAAATGGAGGAAGAAAGAAGTAGGAGATATTGACCAGGAACTCTTCCATCCATCTCCACCCACAAATCCAGAATACCTCAATCAGGGAAAGAAAAAGCAGAGAAAAAAACCTGAAAGCAACTGGGGAAAACTGAAGCATCTAAAAATTCCAGAAGGTGAAACAAAGGTGAAATTCATGTGGAAGGGAGCAGAACTATGGCACATCCCAAGCCTATGACTTAGAACTGATGTGACGCTGACTGGCGACTGTGGGTGGGGGTGAGACCTGTGGGAAAGATAAAACTCAGCCTACTTGCCACAGTGGGGGAGAGGGCAGAGGCCTGGCCACAGCCTGTGGGAACACCTGAATCCCTGCCACAGCCAGAAACTGGGCAGCAGTGCTACCAC